GAGCTAAACCTAAAGAAATAGCACCTTCTATACCTTGAATTGAATTACTAAATGCACCTAATAAATATACAGCAGCATGTGATACTGATGAATAAGCAATAAGTTCTTTAATATCTATAGTTCTTAATGTACTAAAACTAGCATATATAATAGTTATTACACCTATAACATATATTATATAAGTATAATTAATACTAGCTTTAGGTAATAAAGGTAAAATTAATCTAAATATACCATACAAACTTAATTTTAAAACAATACCAGCTAAAAGAATACTACCAGCTAAAGGAGATTCTACGTGAGCTTTTAATAATCAAGTATTTAAAAAAATTGTGGGTGTTTTTACCGCAAAAGATATAAATATACCATAAAATAAAAAAAGTTGAGTTATATAATTAAAATTTGCTTTAGATAATGCATCAAAATCAGTTGTCCCCATTATAGAAGACATTGTTATTATAGAAAGCAACATAAATAGAGAACCTAGTAAAGTATATAAAAATAAATAAAAACTAGCTCTAACTTTATTACTTGATCCAAATAAACCTATTAATAAAAATAAAGGAGGTAATATACTTTCAAAAAATATATAAAATAATAATAAATCTAATACTAAAAACACTCCTAATAATAAAGCTTCTAAAAGTAATATAATTATTACAAAAGATAATACATTTTTTTCATCAATCGATTTTCAATTAGATATTAAAGCAATAGGTGTAATAATAGTTGTTAATAAAACAAAATATATAGATATTCCATCAACTCCTAAATATATATCAAAATAATTTATTTGATAATGTTCTTGAACTTGTATAAATTGAAACTGTTTACTACTAAAATCAAATAATATATATATTATTAAAGAAATAATTAAATTAATAATTGTAGTACTTAAACCTATTAATTTAATCATTTTATTATATCAAAAAGATAAACGATAAGAAGTTAATGTTAATATAACAAATATTCCTAATAAAGGAATGAATAACAAAGAAAAAAGAAATATCATTTATAAAACATAAAATAAAATTACCTATAGATTATTATTTTAACCTTATGTAACACCGTACATATCTGCAAGGCTAAAAAATTATCTAAAAACTTTTTATTAAATATGAATTAAATTAATTTTTAATAAATTTTATATAAACTATAAAACAATAAAATAAAAAACATACAAAAAAATAAACTATAATAAAGTAAAATTACAAGGTAAAATATTTAAACCTACTACTAAACAAGGTGTTATAATTATATACGCTATAATTAAAGGTAAAAATACTATTCAACAAACTGACATTAATTGATCAAATCTAATTCTAGGGAATGATGCTCTAACTCATATAAATACAAATATAAGAAAAGAAGTTTTAAAAGCTAAATTTAAACTAGAACAAGCATTAATTAAATAATAAGATAAAACATAATTATAATCAAAATCGGGTTTTAAATATAATCCTAATAATTCCAAGATATAATTAAAACTAGAAATTATTGTAACTAAAGGAAAAATTTGCAAGTAACCACCTAAAAACAAAACACTAGTTAATAAACATATTAAGACAATACTAGCATATTCTGCTAAAAAGAAGAATACAAAAATAACTGCCGAATGTTCTGTCATAAAACCACTAACAAGTTCTGATTCAGCTTCAGCTAAATCAAAAGGAGCTCTATTAGTTTCAGCAATACAACCTATAAAAAATATAATAAAAATAGGAAATAAAGGTAATATAAAGTAAATAGATTTTTGAGCTTCTACTATAGCAGTTAAGTTTAAACTTCCTGTTAATAAAATTACTAATAATATAGCAGAACTTAATATTAATTCATAACTAATTAATTGAGCTGTACTTCTTAATGAACCTAAAAATGCATATTTAGAATTAGCTGATCATCCTGCAATTAAAATTCCATAAGTAGCTAATGATGACACAGCCAACATATAAAGTATACCTAAACTAAAATCTGATACATATAAACCATAACCATATGGTATTACTGCATAACCTAATAAAGCAAAAATTAAAGTTATTATAGGTCCGAGAAAAAATAAAATTATATTAGCTTGTGTTGGTGATACATATTCTTTTAATAATAATTTTAATGCATCAGCAAAAGCTTGTAAAAGACCATAGTAACCTACTGCATTAGGTCCTAATCTTCTTTGCATACTTGCCATTGTTTTTCTTTCTGAAATTGTAACAAAAGCTACTGTTAATAATGAAGGAACTATAACTAATAGACCTTCTATAATAGATAATAAATATGACATATTATTTGAAAAATAGAATAATTTAATAAAATACTTTAACAAAAAATAATTTTTCAAATTATAATAAAAATAAAAAAAAAAATGAATATAATAAATATATTTTTTTTTTAATATTAAATAAACATCTACTACTAATATAATTAGAACTAGATTATTAATATATTTTAGGAGCCAGGAGAAATCGAATCTCTAAATTTTAATTTGCAGTCAAAACACAGATCCATCTGTTCAAGCTCCTTGATATTATAAATTATAAATAATTTATTATAAATAATTTAGTATAAATATATTTATACTAAATTACTATTTACTTAATATAATTAAGTAAATCTTCTGTTTTTTTAGTTTTTCAATCTTGTGTCAGACTATTAATTTGTTTACTTTCAATTTTTAATGCATTTTTACCTAATTCGAAAGCAAAACCTAAAGTTAAAACAATAAAGAAAATAAGCATAATTATTAAACCATATAACCCATTAAAATAAGCACTAACTATATATGGATATACTAATAAAATTTCTAAATCAAATAAAAGAAATAATAAAGCAAAAATAAAAAAAGAAATACTAAATTGTGTTCTGTTTTGCCCTAAAAAAGAATGAAATCCACATTCAAAAGCACTATCTTTTTCTAAATAAGAATTATGAGGTGAAAATAATAAATTAACAATTAATAATATAAGAGCAAGTATAGGTATAAAAACTAGAAAAAAAGTTATTGTTGTCATAAAAAATAAAAAAAAAATTTTGTAAATTTATCCTACAAAGTAAGAAAATTCATGATAATCGAAAACATAAAAAAAATTTTTTATAGCTTAATTTTTCTTGATCACTAAATCTGTTAAACTATTTTCTATTAAGCTTACCAAAGGTACTATTATTAAATAGTGAGAAAAATATAAAATCGTACTAATTTGACCTAATTCTATAAAAGGTGCTTCTACATGTTTAGCTCCTAATATCATTAAAATTAAAAAATTAGCAACAAAAATATAAAAAGCTAATTTACTTAAAGGTCTAAATTGTATACCTCTTAATTTAGATATATCAGTAATAGGCATAATTAATAAAATTAAAATAGCACTAAACATAGCTATAACACCTAATAATTTATTAGGTATAGATCTTAATATAGCATAAAAAGGTAAAAGATATCACTCTGGTACTATAGCAGGTGGAGTTTGCATAGGATTAGCCATAACATAATTTTCACTATCACCTAAAAAATTAGGCATGAAAAAAACAAATCCAGATAAAATAAACATAAAAATAAAAATAGTTATTAAATCTTTAAATATAAAATAAGGAGAAAAAGGCAATCTATCGTAATTACCGGAAATACCTAAAGGATTTCCAGAACCAACAGTATCATGAAATGCTATTAAATGCATTAAAGCTAAAGCAGCTAAAACAAAAGGTAAAACAAAATGTAAAGAAAAAAATCTATTTAATGTAGCGTTATTTACAGAAAAACCACCTCATAAAAATTCAACTATGTCTTGACCTACTCAAGGTATAGCACTCATTAAATTAGTAATAACTGTTGCACCTCATAAACTCATTTGACCATAAGGTAAAACATACTAACTTACTTATTATTAAAATCAACAATAAGCTAGAATAACTTTGAATTCGTATATTCTATTAGTTAAATACTTTTTAACTAAAAGTATCGACTGTGCATTAAGCGGCATTTCAGCCACCCATTAGTGTCCCAGTCTGTCGCGACCATTTATATGACCGACGATCTTAAAGTTTGTAAAAAAACTTCTTTAATCGTTTTCACTAACATCGCCAAATAATCTTAAAGACTATTCTATAACTCCGACGGGTTATACCACTTTAATCTTTATTTTTCTATAAAAATTGCATAAAGATTGTTACTCGCGGGACTATGAATTAATATAAAATATAATAAATTATAGATAATAATATAGCTATTTAGTAGACAAATCTTTTACTATTCATTGTCTTTTTACTAATCTTTTTTCTGTTTTTAGTGCTCTTATAATAGTTTTTTCACCACAGCTTATAGATTTAGCTGCTTCTAAAATAGTAGAATATTTACCGTAAATAGTTCCATTAAGATTATATAAAACTACAGGTCTTGTATGTGCAATACATTTTTTCTTAGTCTCCTCAGACATAGGAGATCTATTTAAGGCTTTCTCTCTCATTTTCTCTATTATTTCAGGAGAAAGCTTTGTACCTTTATTTAAACTACCTATCATTTCCCGTCTTGCTTCTGTATAAAAATCTTTCATTTTTTGACGGTTAACTTCAGTATGTTTATAACCAAAACTAGAACCTGCCTCAGTTAAAATATTATAATTAGGTAATAACAATTTTAGATATTTATCTTCTAAATCTAACAATTCCTTATTATTTTCTTTAGTAACTATCTTAGGATATAATTTTAATATAATAAAAGCAAAATTAGTTAATTTATATTTTTTTACTGCTGATTTAACTATTTTACTACCTCTGTAATAAATCAGATGATTACTGAATCTAGCATAAAATCTATTAGTTGCCGCAGAACCTATATAGTAATCTTTAGTTATTTTATTAATTATCATATATATTCCACTTAAACCTTTAGTCTCATTTAATATTTGTTTTCTAATATTTTCTGAATCAAGGTTTTCAAATATATACACAGGATTTAGTTCTAATTCTTTAATTATTGAATTTAATCTATCAGAATAAGATAATTTAATACTATTATTTGAATAAGGAATTGTACTATATCTTCTTTTATTTAAATAGTTTGTGGACTTATTATTTAATTTATTATACTTTATATTTTTTATATTATTTCCTATAGGGTATATTAATACCTTATTTTTTTTTATTAAATTTTGTATAGTATAATATACAATAATTAAAATAATTGCAAAGGAAATACTTATATTAAATCATTTTGGGCTATGTAAATAACCCAAGAAACCTATACCCATCATTAGTACTAACATAATAGTACCAATACTTCATGTTAATGTTCTTGGAGATTTATATGATCCATAATATAAACCTCTACCTATATGTAGATAAACTAAAAAAAAAAAAGCTGAAGCTGTATTTGAATGTAGATATCTTATTAATCATCCATTATTTACATCACGCATAATATGTTCTATCGAATCAAAAGCTTCTAATACATTAGGTGTATAATGCATAGCTAAAGTTACACCTGTAACTATTTGTATACCTAAACATAAACCTAATAATGAACCAAAATTTCATAAATAACTAATATTAGATGGTTGAGGTGAATCTATTAAATATGAATTTAATATATTTAATAAAGGACGGTTTTTTAAAATTCTCATAAAAAAAAAAATATATTTAAACTTTATTCTTATTATATATATTTTTAATATACTAATTTAAACTATTAACAAAAAAAAATTTTTTTCCTAGTTAGACTTAAATAGAAAAAAAATAATATTAAATAAATGATGTAAAAAAAACAAGGGATAAAATATTACATAATTGTAATAATTGATCAGGTACCAACATAAATAAAAGAATAATTAAAGTTAATGTAGAGATAGTAATTGAAAGAGAAGAAGATAAAGGTAATTTATAGATATCTTCCTCAGGTATTGATTTAAATATAAGATTTTTTCATTCATATGAATGAATATCAAAAAACATAATTTTTACTATATTTAAATAATAAACAGCACCAATAACACTAGTAAATACCGCTACTAAAGATAAAAAAATAAAACCATCTTGTAAAGCTGCAGATAAAACCATCTGTTTTGCAAAAAATCCTACAAGAGGTGGTATACCAGCAAAAGAAAATAGAGTAATAGTTAAACTTAAAGCTAGTGTTTGGTTTACATAAAAATAACCTTTTAATTGACTTAATAGTTGGATGGGTGAATTATTTTTATCTATTAAATTTATATTAATATTATAATTATCAAATATTTTATTATTATCAAAAAAATATAAAGTATAACCTATAGTAATTAATAAGAAAAAAGCATTTAAATTAGAAATACTATATTGTATTAAATAAAAAATAAAAGATTGTATAGATTCAACACTATTAATACTTAATGCTAATAATAAAAAACCAACATGAGAAATAGTACTATAAGCAAACAATCTTTTAATTCTAAATTGGGTTAAACCCATAACTGTTCCTATTATTAAAGATAATAAACTACTAATTAATAAACTATAAGTTCATGTATATTCAGTTAATATATAAATATTATTTGTAAAATGTACTAAATAAAATAATATAACTAAAATAGATATTTTTGGTATAATAGATACAAAAGTAGTAACTATAGTAGGTATACCATCATAAACATCTGGAGATCAAAAGTGAAAAGGAGCTGCAGATATTTTAAATAAAAAACCTATTGTTATCAATAATAAACAATAAGGTATATAAGAAGCAATATCTGAACTATATAGTTCTTCTCCTTGAATTATATTAGATATATTAGTAATTATATAAAAATGATCTAAATATGTCGTACCAGAGTTTGCATATATTAAACCTATACCTAATAAAATAAAACAAGAAGATAGACCACCTAATAAAAAATAAGTTAAACCTGAAGATGTAGATGATTCTGAATTTCTATAAATTGTACAAAGTAAATATAACCCATAACTTTGTAATTCTATAGATAAATATACTGAAACTAAATCATTACTTGATATTAATAATAAACTACCCATTATTATAAATAAGATAATTAAAGTATATTCAATTATTCCATATTGTTCTCCTTTTTTTATTATTTTAAAATAATCTTTTATATATTTTTTTAAAGTTAATGTATAATACTTTATTACAGTTCTAGGAAAAAAACTTGTTAAATTTAATATTAATAAAGTAAGTATAATAATTAACATATGAAATATGTTTGTTATTGAAGAAATACTAAACAAGCCTCCATAAAGTCCTAGACCTATATCTAAATATGATATATATAAATTAGTATAACTTAAAAATAAACAAAGTATTAATATATTAATTCCAATTCTGGAATAATATAAAGAAATATCTCGCCTCGATCCGAGGGAATTAGATAATAATAAAGAAAAAATAGATAATAATAACATTATAAAAAAAAATTTTTTAACTATATTGACATTAACAACCTATTAAAAATAAACCTAATTTTACTTATTAAATATAATAAGTTTAATTTTCATTATAAGTTTTATTAAAAATAGTAAAAATAGCAATCAGTAAAAGTAATAAAATATTTCCATCTATAAAACTAAAATAAAATAAAGAAATATACGAAAAGAAACCTATTAAAATATATAAACCATATGATGTTATAATACCTGTACTTAAATTACCTATACCGTTACTTAAAACTAAAAGACTTTTTTCTAAACCATAAGGTCCTAATAGTTCAACAGAACCTTTATCAAGAATTTTAGTAGTTTGACCACCTAATTTTAAAACAATATCAGTGATATAATTATTATAAAAAAGTTCTATAAGGAATCTTTGATTAAAGAAACCAAATAAATTATAACCTAATTTAGTATATTTAAATTTAATAACAAATAAACCAAAAAATTCTGATAAAAGCAAAGAAAGAAAGCTCAAGCTAATTGTAAGAATAAAAGGTAATAATTTAAATAAAGTAATAACAGCAAATTCAGTATCTAACATAGATTCATGTAAAGGATGAATAAATAAACTATTATCAGAAAAAAACCCAGTACCTAAACCTATAAACAAATCTTTAGTTAAATAACCAAAAAAAATAGATAAAATAGCTAATATAATTAGAGGTAAATTAATAAATAAATCACCTTGATCAGCTTTTTTATAAGTAATTAAAGGTCCATTAGGATTAGTTAAAAAAGTTAAATATAAAACTTTAGCTGAATATAATGTAGTAAAAATTGCACCAACAGAAGCTAAAATATAGACAATAATACTAGATAAATAAAATTGACCATAAGCGGATTCTAAAATAAAATCTTTAGAATAAAACCCTGTCATAAAAGGAATAGCAACTAAACTTAAAGAAGCTATTAACATAACTGAATAAGTTAAAGGTAAAAAAGCCTTTAACCCTCCAAATTTCCTAAAATCTTGATTATCTGATACTGAATGTATAATTGCACCAGCACCTAAAAATAAAAGTGCTTTATAAAAAGCATGATTTACTAAATGAAATAAGGCAATATTATATGAAGATAAACCGATTGCTATAACCATCATACCTAATTGCTAAAATTACTATTATAAATAATATAACGTAATTTGGACCATTTCTTTATTAATCTTGGTAATTTTCTCATCTATATTTAAATTTAATTCATTCATTAAATTTTTCAATATTATCACTTTTACTTTGTAATCTTATTGAATAATATTGTTTTATTAGATTAACTCTTTTTATTTTATCTGTTCTTAAAGGATATATATTGAAATAATTATCTATTAAGTTAAATAGTTCTGATTTTCTATAAATAACATATTTAAATGCTTCTATTTTAGGACTACTAATATCTACTTTTCCTCCATAGATCTCTATTAAAGGTTCCAATAAATATTTATTTTTTTGAGTTACACTAATAAAAACTTGTCCGGATGATTCACTAAAATATATTGAACCGTCACTATCTATAAATCCGCTTAATCATCCATTATTAAATGTAAGTTTATCTGAATATTTTAAGGTTATATTAAATTTTATACAAAGCTTATTCATTTGTAATAAACGCGTGGGATTTCTAATTAATCCATTTATATCATTTATTAATTTTATTAAACCAGCTTTATTTCTTAATTTATATTTAAAAGCATAAGCATTTGAAATTGGTTTAATAGATCCTCCGTATTTATGTTTTATTAAATATAAAGCTTTTTTATCCCTGGCATCCATAGTTATTTCACAACTATTATATCCATTTTTAGATAATAAAAAATAACCGTCACCATCTATCAATCCTGCTAATCATTCTTTAAAATGAATATCTTCAGGATTATTATTTTTATATATTAAATTATTAGTATTTACATTTGTATGTAAATTTCTATATAATATTAAATTATAACTATTTTTTAATCTAGAGGATGATTTGTAAATATTAACTTTACTTACAGTAACTTGTTTTTTAAATATAGAAATTTTTGAGATTAAATTAAATAAATTTAATTTAATAAAGATTAATATCAAACGTATGGCCTCTGAGATTCCTACTAACTTACTGATAATATTAAATTTTCATCTTATTGACACAGATAAATTATTCTGATATAACCTTATAATGGTAGATGAATTATAAAACTTAACATTATAGTGATTATATAAATAATCACGAGCTTTGGTTATCTGCGAATTAATTATATTATATATAACCTCTACGCATATAGTTTGATGCCTGAATATACTAGAATGAATAGTATATTCTTGAGCCAATTGACTCATAGTAGAATAAGCTATAACTTTCTTAATATCTTGTTGAAATAAACCTATAATTGAACTAAATATAGTTGTTATTCCACCTACTCATAAACATAGTAATAATACAGTAGAACTATATTCTATTAAAGGTGAAGATCTCATTAATAAGTATACACCAGCTGTAACCATTGTTGCAGCGTGAATTAGAGCAGATACTGGTGTAGGTCCTTCCATGGCTTGCGGTAATCAAACGTGAAGACCTATCTGAGAACTTTTAGCCATAGCACCTATTAATAAACAAATACCTATTAAAGTAATAATATTGCTATTTAAATAAGGAGCTAAAGAAAATATTGTAGAATAATTTATATTACCAAAAGATCATATAATTATAAACATACCTATCATTAAAAAACAATCACCAACTCTATTAGTTAAAAAAGCTGAAATTGAGCTTTGATTTGCTGCTATTCTAGTAAATCAAAAATTTATTAATAAATATGAGCAAACTCCAACACCTTCTCAACCTAAAAACATCAATAAATAATTATTAGCTGTTACTAGAATAATCATCATAAAAGTAAATAAACTTAAATAACTAAAAAATCTTTGATTGTGTGGATCATGACTCATATAACCTATAGAATATATATGAACTAGACTAGAAACAATTAACACAGGTATAAGCATAGAAACAGTTAAGCTATCATAATAAAAACCTCAATATACATTAAGAGATTCTGAATCTATTCATCTTATTAAATCTATAGTTACTGGTATATTATTATAACCTACTTCTATAAAAGCTAATAAAGCTAATAAAGTTGTCACTATAATAGAACTAGATGTAATTAATTGCGATCCTTTAGTACCCAAACTTCTTCCAAAAAAACCTGAAAAAATTGAACCTAATAAAGGTAAAATAATTATAACTATATACATTATGAATATTGTATTGCTATACTTCCTCTTAATCTATAAAAAGCTACTAATATTCCTAAACCTATCGCAGATTCTGCTCCAGCTATAGTTATAATATATATAGCAAAAGTTTGACCTAAAATATCATCGAAATTTAATGAACTTATTAATATTAAAAAAGTAATAGACAATAACATAATTTCAATAGAAATTAACATTAATATAATATTCTTTCTATTTAAAACAAATCCTAATATTCCTATTAAAAATAATATTAATGAAAGATTCATATTATTGCTTCACATATAAGATTTATGTATATAAAAAAAAATTTTTTTTTATTTATTTTTGTATCAAGATTATTATTAAAAAATAATTACTATATTAATCACTCATTTGATCACGTAATCATAGTAAAAATTTTTTTAAACTTACAGATTGTATAGCTATAGGCATAGAACTATGTAATATACCACAAATTTCTGAACATTGTCCGAAATAAGTTCCTTGTCTATTTAAATAAACAGAAGATTGATTTAACCTTCCTGGGTATGCATCACATTTAATACCTAAAGAAGGACAAGCAAAAGAATGTATAACATCTGCAGCTGACACTACAAATCTTGTGTGTGTTAATTCAGGTATAATTACTCTATTATCAACTTCTAACATTCTTAAAGTACCTTCTTCTAAATCTGCTTCTGGTACTATATAAGAATCAAATTCTATAAATTCATTGTCTGCATTTGTAAAATCAGGATATTGATAACTTCAATATCATTGATGACCCTCTCCATATATAACTAAAGATGGGTCCATTACTTCATCCATTAAATATAATAGTTTAAAAGAAGGAAATGCAATAAGAATTAATATTACTGCTGGTGTAATAGTTCATATTAATTCTATTAGTGTCCCATGATTCATATATTTATGAGATATTACAGATTTTGTTGCTTTAAAAGTTTTTATTATAACTACCATCATTCATGTTACAGTAAATAATATTATAGCTAAATAGAACATAATATTATTATGTAATTCCTCAATTCCTTCCATTTGAGGAGTAGCACTATCTTGAAAATATAATCCTCAAGGACTTGGTGCATCTAAATCGCTATTTGAATTGAAATTTACCTCTTTATTATTTATAAAATAATTAATATTATCTATTATATTAAAGAGTGATAAGTTAATATAACTAAAAAAATTTATCATAAAAAAATATTATAAATTTAATTTCTATCTTTTTTTAATTTCACTGAAAAAACTTTTTATCTTTATTAGAATATACTAATTTAAAGTATAATACTTATTATTTTTAATTAATAATTTATTTTAAATCTAATTAATTATTTATTATTATAATAATTTATTATTACAAACTATATTAATTTTACTAATTTTTAATTTAAATATCTTTAATATATAACTATATATCTTTAGAGAATTTATATGTAAATAAATTATTAATTAAAAAAAAAATATATATATATTTAAGGCTTACCGAGGTAAAAAAAAAGTAGAAATTAAAATCGATGATCTAAAACAAAAATGAAAAATTTTAAAATATGAAGATAATTTAAATTATTATCATAATTACTTTTTTAATGTATAATATTAAACCTCTTTAAAAATAAGACTCAAGTTTTTACTTTTCGTAAAATTAAGCCACATATAATAATAAGAAAGCCATCATTAAAGCAAATAAACCAGTAGCTTCTGCAAAAGCAAAACCTAAAATAGCGTATGTAAATAATTGTCCTTTTAATGAAGGATTTCTAGAAACAGCTATTATTAAAGCAGCAAAAACAACACCTATTCCAACACCAGCACCTATTAAACCAGTTGTAGCTAATCCAGTTCCTATAATTTTTGCAGCTTGTAACATTTTTATTTTTTTTTCACATACAATGAGGAAACCTCAAATTATTATTATCTATAAAAATACTTATATAAACTTTAATATGTTTTTTTTAACAAACATTAAATTTATACCAGAATGTTATTATGGTTATTTCAATACTAATAGAAATACTAAAAAAAAAAAAGATAATATTATACATAAAAAAAATTTTTTTTTAGTATCTAATTATCTAATAAAGAAAAGCTTAAAAATTTTATACAACTAATATATACCTCATTTATTAATATATTAGCTCCTAAGATGAATCGAACATCTATACAAATATTAACAGTATTTTGCTCTACCTTTGAGCTATAGGAGCTTGATTAATTTAATAAGTTATATATTAGTTAATATTAAAATTTAAAACGAAATAATTAAGAAAAAAAAAAATAATTTATGCATGTTTATATGAAACTTTTAATTTCTTTAATTCTTCAATTTTATTTGTTAACACTGAAACATACTCAGAATTATTTGATTTAATATCCTTTTCTATCGCGAAACCTTTTTTTAACAAATCTTCAATATTATCCCTATGATGAATAATTAATCTATCTATAATACCAATTCTCTTGCTAATATTCCTTACCTCAGCATCAGATATACCTTGAGGCACCTCTATTTCTAAATTACCTGTAGTATCACTAATTACATTAATACTATTTTCTATAATTAAATTATTAAATTGTTCTACAAAATTAGATAATTGAGGTACTAATATATTTAACTCACTAACAATACTAGTTAGATCTAAACCACAATGTAATGTACAATCTACAGAATTATGTGGTTTTGGTATATTTTTTGAAGAAGTTATACAAATTAAAATATATTCAATAATATTATTTCCTCGCAAATAAATTTAAATTAGATTGTAAAGGTAAACTTACAAAAGCATGAGGTTTAGGTGGGCTTGTTAAGCATCATTCTAAAGAATTATTATTTCTATTGAATAAAGTTTGGAATAAATCACTAAAATATTGAGGAGTTAATCAAGGGTATCTTGAAACAGGAGCACCTTGAGTTAATTGAATATATAAAATATTTAAAAAATATCAAGTAGCTACAACACTTATAATAGAACCAAAACTACTAATTAAATTTCAACCTGCAAAAGCATCAGGATAATCACTAATACGACGAGGCATTGCTTGTAAACCTAAAAAATGTTGAGGGAAAAATGTTATATTAACCCCTATAAATAAAATTCAGAAATGAACTTTACCAGCTAATACATTATAAGATAAACCTAATAATTTAGGAATTCAAAAATATCAACCACTAAATAAAGCAAAAACAGCACCCATTGAAAGAACATAATGAAAATGTGCAACTACATAATAAGTATCATGGAAAGCAATATCAAGTGAAGCATTAGCTAAAACTACACCACTTACAAAAAAAAATTCATTAATCTATTAATCTTTCATAACTAAAGATATACCCATTATAAACACCTTCTAACCTAGCATATTTTTTTTATAGTACTATGATTTATATTTAATGCTCTTTGAGCATCTGTTACTCCATTATATTTACCCAGAAATTTTCTATTAGTATTATATACAAAAACTGCTTTTTTAATATGACTATTATTGTTGATCTCTAATACTAAATCATCACATTCTTTTGAAGATCAATCAGATATAATAGGCGTGTCATTTAAATTATAAGGTATGTTTTTTATATATCATTCACCTCTAAATAATGTTTGTTCTTTGATGACATTAACAATTGTAGAATGATTTGATTTAATTAATTTAGATAAAGTTAAAACCGAAGGAAAATAACCAATAACTTTTTATAAGAGTTATATATATATACAGAATAAGATGAATTAGCTTCAATCATTCTTACCTTACTTTCAATAGAATGAGATTTATTATAAAAAGGATTATTTTCACCCATTAAAGCCCTTGCTATTAAACCTTTAGTTTTATCAGAGTGGACTCTATTATTAGCTAATTCAGATAATAACTTTTTAGTTTCCTCTGTGTGTTTATAACCTAAAGAAGAATAACCTTGTTTTAATACATTATAATAAGGGATAACATGTGATATATAAAAAGTTTCTCTAACAGTTAAAAATTCAGGTCCAACATATTCTAAGATTAAAAGAGAAAAGTTTGACTGATCGTATTTAAGTAAAGCTTTTACAATAGGCATATTAGCATTTTGTTTACTTTTTAAAAAAGTATTATTAAGATAATTTCTCATTCTAGAAGCTAAATTAATAGAACTTCCTACATAAGCATGCCCATTTATCTTATTAATTAAACAGTAAATACCTGATTTATCTTTTTGTTCTTTTAATATATTAACCCTATCTTCTTTTAAACTATTATATACTTTTATAGGTTTTAAATTTTTTGTATTATTATCCCTAGGACTAAAATTAGAATAGGGACGAACTAAGTGATTAAAGTATTTATTGCATAAATAGATTAATGAATTTTTTATTTCTTGGACTATATCTTCTGCTTGCGCAGGACTACGTTTAGTCTCTGAGGTTCCTACTAAGATATTTATCTTGTTTGATAATATCAATTGGTTACCTGCTGATTGTTCAAAATTACACAATTTCACTGAGATTAAAATCTCTAGTAGTATAATTGTCAGAAGTTCCCAGCATATAGTAGTCTTTAAAGGGAGAACTAAGTGGCTTATTAATCCTCCAATAGTAAACATAACAACAAAACCTAAAGCAAATAACATAGCAGGTGTTAAATGTAAAGAACCACCATAACATGTAGCTAATCATGAAAATATTTTAATACCTGTAGGCACTGCAATAATTAATGTAGCAGCCGTAAAATAAGCTCTTGTCGATGGACACTATCATAATTTAATAACATATTATATTAAATTCCTTGCGTATTTGTCTCTGAGGATCCTTTAACAGCAATACTTATAATTTTTTCTATACCTTTTTTATCTAAATGTTTACCTTCTGTTATCATAATATAAACTTTTCTAAATTTAAGATAACTTACATATTTTCCTCCAAAGAGATTAAATTTATCAAAATAATTAATAAGATCAGATGCAGTACTAAAACCTGTACTTTTATAACATCATATACCAGTATTATATTGAGATAAATTACCTTTTTTTAAAAGATCATATAATAATTTTAAAGGTAATTTATCATTTTGTTTTAAAGAATATTCTAATCTTACACTATAACCTGTTTTATGCGTTTTACTTTTTACAACACTAATGTGAAAACAACCATCAGCTTGTGTAAATCCAGCTAATCAATAATTATCTAAACTTATTTTTTTTAGAGGAGATAATATTTTTATCTTAAATTTTTCACTATATCCTTGATTAATTAATTGTTCATATTTATGATGACTAACTAACTTACCATTAATTAAAGATAAAATAATGGATAAACCTTTTTGGTCTTTACATATATATCTAACTGCTTTTTTATTTTTTATTTTATAAACATTACCATATCCTATACATTTTTTAATAAAATAAGCTAATGAAATATCATTTTCACTAAAAATTATATGTAATTCTTTTTTACCAAATCAACCATCTCCTTCTATTAGGCCAGCTAAAAAATGACCTAATTCATTATCAGAAAAATCACTATTATGTTTAGGCACATGTTCAGAAATATTAACCAATTCAGTATATTTATTATAAGTATTTTTAGCAACTGCCGTAGCTTTAGTACTAAAATTAAAGTTTCCTGCTGATTGTCCTGCCATATAATAATGTAATAAATAGATTATTCCTATCGTAATTAATACGAGTGGACTATTTATTCAGGAGTTTCCAGCATATAGCAAGATTTTTATATTGGACACAAGTTTATCCACATCTAAACCAACTGTATACATGTGATGACTTCAAACAACAAAACCTAACACACCTATAGACATCATAGCATAAACCCGTGTTTCAGACTTTGGCCTAAATTTAAAATACAAATATTTTATTCATCTCCTGCTAGTTCATAAATAGAACTTATACTATCTGTTGTTAAGTTATCAATAGAATTATCATTTTTATTATTATTATTTTCAGTATTAGATGCCGCTCATAATATTGAATCCACATGGGAATCATATTTAAACATAACTAAACAAAAATCATTAAAAGTATCATTACTTTCTTCCCGATGCTTTTTACCTTTATCTAAATACTTTGGCTCTAAACCGGGTACAAGATTTAATTTACCTTCTTTAATACCCTCTTGAAAGTTTTCATGTCTAATTTGTAAAGATTTTTGATATATTACTGAATCACCAATAAAAAAATTATTCATTTTTTTCTGATCTTCATATGTAGCTGTACCTGGTTCCTTAGATAGGATTGGACGAACGTCATCGAGACGTTTTTCTCTTTCTTCGGCACATTTCGCTGCAAATTTATTATCTTTCTCTTTATAAGACTTATCAGCAGTACTTGCTGCAAAAGTAAGAAATTTATCTTCCTTTTCTGCAGCTTCAAAATATTTATCTAAAGGTTTTTCTACGGATCCTCTAAAAGTAAGTTTTTTATTATCTCTCATGATTTGATTTTATATTTTATATTTAATTTATTGTTTTTAGTACATATATATACTATATATATATATTTATATTATTTTTTTTTAAGTTATATAACTTATAAACTTGATTTACAAAAAGGTACTAATTATAGCATTAAAAATTATTTAATAACATGATATTTTCTTTTACAAATCTAAAAAAAAAAAAATTTTTTTTTTATTCAATGCACACAAAGCTTAATTTTAATAAAGAGAAAAAAATTTTTGTATTTTAAAATTAAATTCATATATAATAATTGATATATTATACATATAGACCGAGCTATCCTATTTATTTAATTATTTATTATAATAATTTATTATAAATAAACCTATTTCTAGGCAACTAAGAGCACACCTTAAATATATTAATATATTCAGTACCGTCTGCTCGTTGCTCTTTTATCCTATAAAGGAACTTAGATCCGCGATAATCCATTCACCTTTTTGAAGTAGATAATTAGACTTATTACTATACCCAATATGATTAGTATTGGCCCATTATTAGTTACCTATTAATGTTAGTATCTAATTCTTTAGGACTTCCCCGGAGTTTGATACTGAAGGACAAATATACTTGCTCAAGGTATAGTTAATATCCCTAAATAACCAAAAACATTTTTATTTGAACTAGCTGATACAACTGTACTAATAATACCAAAACCTGGTATAACTAATATATAACAATAACTTTGATTAATATAATAGTTATCTATATATATAATCTATTATAATTAATACCCAAGACCTTTTTTATAATCTTGATAGGACTTTATCTTAAACTGTAATATCATTTTTATCTAATCTATTCATTGTACCTTTTAATTTAATAATTTTATTTATACCTTGTTCATTCAAGTGTTCTTTATCTTGTATTATTAAATATACTTTTCTTCATTTTAAAAAATTGATATGTTTACTAGATAATAAATGAAAATGATCAAAATAATTGATAACTTTTATAGCAGAACCAAAACTAGTAGATTCATAATAATATGTATCTTGATTCTTTCTATAACCTATATTACCTCCTAAAAACTCTTTTATTAATAGTAATATAGTATCTTTTTTTTGATCTATTTGAAAATTCAATCTAATTTCTTTTTTATTTCTAGTAGTAGGATCAATTATTTTTACTTGAAAACTAGCACCTGCATCAGAAAAGCCAGCTAATCAATGATTTTTTAAACATTTATCTGAATTTAATTTAAATTCAACTGAATTTATTAAATCAAAAAAATTTTCATGATTTAATATATTTTTTTGTATTTGATTAAATTTATTTTTTGTTCTAATTTTTCCATTAATTAGTTTAATTACTCGTTCTAAACCTTTTTTAGATGCTATAACTAAAATATAAGCATTTTTCGATTTAACTTTTCTAATATTACCATATCCTAATTTTCCTTTTATAAAATAAGCTAAAGAAACATCTAATGAATGAAATACAATATCTAATTGTTGTTTGGTACTAAAATGACCATCACCATCTATTAAACCAGCTAAATAATGTCCAAATTGATCATCATTTAAAGGTTTTAAATGAGTAGGTACATGAGTAGATATAGATTTTATATTTTCTGTGTATATTACAGTTTCGTTGCGAAAAGTCTCTGAGGTTCCATTAATGATAATGTTACCTGCTGATTTACTTCATTGTTTTAAAATTATTACTATATTATTAAAAATGGAGTATTTAAAACTTAATATCGAAGTAGTCCCAGCATATAGCAACGTTACGAAGCCTATATTTTTAACTTCAGGATGACCAAAAAATCAAAAAAGATGTTGATATAATATAGGATCACCCCCTCCAGCTAATTCAAAGAAAGATGTATTAAAATTTCTATCTGTCAATACCATTGTAATTCCAGCTGCAAGAACAGGTAATGATAATAATAATAAAACAGCTGTTATTACAACAGCTCAACCAAATAAAGCTAATTTATGTAATTTAATACCAGGGCTTCTCATGTTCATAATTGTAGAAATAAAATTTATAGCACCTAATAAACTACTTATACCACTTAAATGTAAAGCAAATATTGCTAAATCTACACTAGGTCCACTATGACTTTGTATTCCTGCTAATGGAGGATAACAATTGTGTTGGTAACCTCATTTATTTAAAAATTATCGTTACTCTCAATGAGTCTCCTCATTGTTCGGACTATACCTTTATCTTAATAACAATAAAATATTTTTTACTTTTTTTCATATAATTCGAAATCTTCTATATTCATTAATTTAGTTTTTAGTTTTCTAACTAAATCTCTAATTTTTATTAATTTATGAAAATTTCCTTTATATTTTACATAAGATCTTGCTCATATTTTGTACTCTACAGATTTCATACCTTTCATTGTATTTTGAAAATATTCTATTATATTTTCAATGGCTCTTGAATTAGTAGTATCTAAAATATAATAATTATGTTTTGATTTAAATTTAACAAGAGTTGATATGTGTAATATATGTCTTATACCTTCTAAAACTATTTTATCTAATTTTTGACTTATACCAAAACCATGTACAATTCTAGTTTTATCTTTTGAAACTAAATAAAAACTACCTTCTGCTTCTATAAAACCTACTAATCATGCCTTAGTCATTATAGAAGTAATATCTCCCTTAAATGGTAATTTTGTTTTATTTCAAACATTAGATACATAGTTTACAGGTAAGGATTTTTTCTTTATTTCTAATAAATATTTATCTTTTTCATTTTTAGAAATATTTTTATCTTCTAGTATTTCATATGCTTTTTTTAATTTTAAATAATCAAATTGTTTACTAGTAAGTAGTGGATATTTATCAAAAATAGGAAAAATTACATCTGATAATTTTTTTCTATCTCTAATTACGAATTGTCCTTTTGTATTATCTTTTCTAACATTACCTACACCAAGCTCTTTCTTAATATAATAAAGAGCTCTAAGATTATATCTAGATAAAGCTATTTTATATACCAGATTTCATTTACCATTTTGATATCCTATGTGAAACGTACCGTCTCCATCACTAATCCCAACTAATCATTGTTCGAATCAAATTCTATTATTTTTATTGTTATTAAGATACTCTTTGTTTAGTCTCTGATGAGTAGAATAATTTCTATCTACCCAGGCGTATTTCTCCGTGAAATAGACATTTTTACACACGCTAAAGTTAATAATAAGCATAGGTATTCTATAACTTGAATTTTAAGTAGATAAAATTCTAGAAGAAGTTCACGCATCGAAAAGAGTTTTATTACCTTAGAGTCACCTCTAATAAACTCCCTATCTCTAAGAGTTCAACCTGTACCTGCTCCATTTTCAATCGTAGCTGAAAAATAAATAATAATAAACTAGGGATTAATAATCAAAAACTTATATTATTTAGTCTAGGGAATCGATACAAAAGTAGTTTACTACCTTTACGGACTATGTCTTCACCCTTATTTTCTTATTTTTTACTCATTTTTTGCTAGTAAAAATGCAAAGCACTAGCCTTGCTACTAATTTTAAAGGGGCTTCGCGTGTAGTCTCTGAGGATCCTACTAGGAAATAAAGAAATTTCCTTTGGTTTCCGGCATATTCTTCCCATGTATACAAAAGTGTTACGACTAATTCAGTTGAAAAAACAACTTTAAAATATATATATATATTTAATTAGGTGTCTATGTATCTGTTAACTGAAGATCAATCTTCATTTTCGAGAAATTCTATGCATATAGCGAAGTCATAATTAAAAAGTTTACACTTTTTAACGGCATTCCCTGTTTTAGGAAAATTTTATTCTATATATAATTTATTTAAATGATCTCAATTATAATACGTTCTTTGTCTATTCATATTGGATCTCGCAGCATCTGTTTTATTTAAGCCGTCATCCGTATATTGTTTACTTTCTAAAACTAATTCCGCTATCTCTTTTCAATCTTTATAATCTAAAAATTTACTAGAAAATAAAGGAGTCTTATTTAAGTAATTTATTATTATAGATAAAGAAGTTTTACTTGAAGCAGTCAAAGTGTAATATTCATTACCAGTGGAAACTTGTTTTCTTACTAATAAACTACAATTAAGAAAATTAGCTATATCTGTTAGTACTTGAAAATAACTTTCCTTTGTTATAGGATAAAACATTCTTTGTTCTATTCTTAATCTACAAGATATTTTCCTTTTCTTTGCTCCGTTCTCTAATTTAGTGTGTTGTACAGAAAAGCTACCATCTGAATCTATAAAACCGCTTAATCAAGCATCATTCTCTATTTTATTTGTATTTAAAGGTAATTTAGCTATATTTGTATTATGATTTATATTTAATCAATCTATTAATTTATAAACTTGGTCTACTTTTGGTGTTCTCAATTGGCCATTTATTAAATAAAGGATTTTTTTTAAACCAGGTACAGAGGATATAACTAATACGCAAGCATTATCTTGCAATTTATATCTTATAAAACCTGAATCGATTAAATCTAACAATTTTTTAGCTAATGGCTCGTTATTCATACTAAAAGTTATACAAAATCTAGGATTATGCCTTTTTTTATCTATGCTTCTCTGTATTCAGATATGTCCGTCTCCTTCGAATAGACCAGCTAAATAACTTTTAAATAAATTATTTTCTTTTTTACTGCTAGAATAAAATTTCCCTAGGTGGAACTTTGTTTTTGCCATATCAGGTCCACCTATTAAAATTGGTAATAAAAAATTACCAAAACCACCTATTAAAGCTGGCATAACCATAAAAAAAATCATTAATATAGCATGAGCTGTTATAACACTATTATACAGTTGATTATCTCCTATGTATTGAACCCCTGGTCCAGATAATTCTAAACGTATTATAACAGAAAAAGCTGTACCTATCAAACCTGAAAATAAAGCAAATATTAAATATAACATTCCTATATCTTTTGCATTTGAAGATAAAAATCAACGCTCTTTTCACATTGTTATATTCATAATTTTATTTAGAATTGTATTTTTAGGATTTTCGTTACTATCCTTTTCATTTAAAATTGCAGTATAGGCATTTTTTATTTCTCTTATATTCCTATATTCAGAGCTACTTATTGTAGGCCGATTCATACAAATTCTAAGTATCTCTTTTCTTTTTATTTAAACACATTATTATATTTTACTTTATTCTTATATAATTAAATTAATATATACAATACTATTAATTATATAAGGATTCTTATCTTAGACTCGAACTAAGATCTAAATATTAGAAGTATTCTGCTCTACCCTTAAGCTAATAAGAATTATATAAGTTATTCTTAAAATATTATATATATATTTTTTTTATATAAAATATTTTTTGATTATAGACTCATAAAAAAAAATTATTACTTTTTGACCTTATAAACACTTATATAGAGTATTTATAATACAGAATACTATTAAAAAAAAAGGTATAATAACATGTACAAGATTTGAACTTATATCATTGTGTCCGTAGCACAGTATTCTGCCGTTAAACTAACATGTTTATATATAAAATTTAAAATTTTAAATTATTAGAATAATAAAAACAATTCACAAACTTCTAATAAAACAAACTAAAAAAAGGCTATTATATAATAATATAATAATTTAAAATTATTAATAATAAATTAATATAAACTATAAGGTAAAATATTTTTATATTAAACTAACAAAAAAAAAATATATATATACAATTATTAATATATTTTTAATTATTAGGGTTGGTACCTTGAATCGAACAAGGATATACTATGCCACATACAGCTGTTCTACCTATTAAACTATACCGACCTAAATTTTTATGAAAAATTATATGAAAAATTAAAAATTTTAATTATTTTACATTAGCCAGGAGAGAAATTCGAATTCTCATTCTTAATTCATGAAATTATTGTTCTACCTATTAAACTATCCTGGCTAAAATTATGTTGGAGCGATTCGAACACTCATTAATAAATACCAAAAATTTATGACTTACCTATTAGTCAACAACATAAAAAAATATGGGTAACAAGACTTGAACTTGCAAAGTTAAAACTATTCCATCCTAAGTGGAACCTGGTTACCAAATTTCAGCATACCCATAAATTTAAATATAATATATAAGAAATAAGTAAATCTGCTCGAAATAAGATTTGAACTTATAACCTAAACATCTTCAGTGTTCCGCTCGACCAATTGAGCTTTTCGAGCTATGGAGCTATCAGGATTTGAACCTGAATTGAGGACATGCAAGGTCCCAGTTTTACCAATTAGACTATAGCCCCTTAGTTATATTATTTATATAACTTATTATTTTAAATATAAAAAAAAATTTTTTTAGTGTATAAATATATACTGAATTAATAATATTAATTATTATTAAATATCCAAGGCACGATTTGAACGTACACGAAATCCATCACCTAATTTTAAGTTAGGTCTGTCTACCAATTCCAGCACTCGGATTATAAAACTTTTAAAATAATAATGTAAGGCTAAAATGAGTCGAACATTTATAAAAGCTATCATGAGCAGCTGGCTTTACCATTAAGCTATAGCCTTATAAAGCAAGTTTAGGAGTTGCACCTAAATTATTGGATCATGAGTCCAATATGTTACTATTACATCAACCTGCAAAATATAAATAAGAAATAGGTGATTTGAACACCTGACCTTTCGCGTGTAAAACGACAGCTCTACCATCTGAGCTAATTTCTTTCAACCCAAGAGAGATTTGAACTCTCGCACTAACAGTGAAAATGTTATGTCTTAACCATACTTGACCATTGGGTCTACCAACTATTTTTAGCCCAGTGCAAGTATCGCACTTACTTAAACCGATTACAAAACGGTTGCATTACTTTTATGCTAACCAGGCTTAATATGAGCTATAATTAGTATTTTATAAAATTAGTACTTTATGCCTAAAAACAATTAAGATTCTTACAACTAAAGCCTATGAAAAAATTATTCGTAGTGTTCTACTACGTTTATAAGAGTATAGTATAGTAAGCTTCGCGCTTAAATGCATTCAGCACTTATCTCTAACTGACTTAGCTTTCCTGCCATGCTTAATAAACAATACTACTTAAGTGAAAATAGTATAAGATACATAATATCAATATTAAACAACAGGTAAACCATAGATCAGCATACCCAACTCCTTTCGTACGAAGGGGCTATCTATATTAGACTCTAATTACCTCTAGAAGATAGAAACCATACTGTCTCACGACGTATTAAACCCAGCTCGTGTAGCTCTTTAACCGACGAACAGTCGTACCCTTCATGATTTCTACATTCATGTGGATGAGCTAAGCCGACATCGAGGTGCCAAACCGCGCACTCAATTTGTACTCTCTTGCGCAAATTAGCCTGTTCAATTTATGTTATCATAAAAGTTTTTTATCTTTTATTTCCATTATTTTCAAAATGGTTCAGACTATTTCATCATCTTTATTAGTTATATAATATAAGCAAAATATAATAAATATTATATACATTTATATTTATTAGAATAATTTAATAACCACTTAATCAACCTTTAATACCAAATGATCCTAAAGCGGAATTATTATTAAGATTAGTATAATCAATATTAGATCTAAATTTACCTAGTAGCAGGTATTAAATTACAAGCTAATGGTAGATTAACTAGACGCTATACTACCTTTGATCTTATTTTTTGTTAAAGATCTTGCAGCAGTAAAACGTCTAGTTAATCTACCATTAGCTTGTAATTTAATACCTGCTACTTTTTTATATTTAATATCATCAAAAATAGTTTTTTTTAAATTATTAGATTTAGATTTATTTTTTAATAATATATCATATAATATATCATTAGTAATGTCTAATTTATTATAATTATCTTTAATAAAATTTCAATTAAAAATATATTTATTATTAGGGTATAACGTTAATAAACTTTTTTTTTCTAAAGGATATTCTTTATTATTTTTTTTAAACTTTTGTTTAAATATTTTCTATTTTTTTGTATATCCAAAACAAAACGTTGAGTAATAATTTGACTATTAAAAAAATAATATTTAATATTAACAAAATTAAATTGTACATTTTTTTTATATAATTTTTTTATAATATTAACTAAACCTTGTAGATAATTGTTTCTAAATTTAGATTTATTAATATATATTAATTGTAAAATATAAAGGTATAATTTAGCTATCTTAAAAGTTTTATTTAAAAATAAATTATAATATAAATTTGTAAAAAGTTTTAGATTTTTAAAATTACATTTATCAAAATTATTTAATAAAATATTTTTTGTTATTCTTCTTTGTTTTAAAATAAAATATTTCCCTATCATTTTCAATAAATTTAATTTATTTTTTTTTTTAATAAAATATTTTTTTTTTCTTAATTCAGATAAATATAAACGTATTTTTGGGTCATAAAAATATATAGTAATATTTACTAAATCATTAGTATGTTTTAATTGAGCATCACTAAAAAAAATTCTATGTTTTGAAGTTAAATATTTTTTATAGATTAAACGAGTTCTAAAAAAATTTTTTGTTTTTGAATAATAAGCATTAAAATAATTTTTTATTAAATTAATACTTATCTCATTAATTTCTGATATTAAGGTTATATTCTTTTTATTGTATACATAAATACTATTTTTTCAATTCCTTATCATAGGCCCTGATTCTTTATATATATAATTTGAATATTTAGAATTACCTGAAAAATTTTTATAAGTATTTTTAATTTTTAATTTTATTATCTTGAGCATTTAAATATATATATTTAATTATTAATATAATTTTAATGTTATATAATAATATAATTTAACCATAGTTAAACCAATTTCATTAATAAAATATTTAATAAATATTAAATTAATATTTATACAAAAATATTAATATATATATAACTAATAAAGATGTTGGGATTAAATAAAAGGATTATCAATAGCACTATTCACCTTTTAGTCGTTGAACGTTCTTATTTAATTTATATAAAATATAAATATGCTAAAATAAGTTTCGCTTCAAATACACTTAAATATAAGTTATTTTTGAAATTTACCCAAATTATTACCAATATTTTAAAATACAGGGGGACTAACAAAAATCCCTAGCGTAACTTTTTCTTTAATCCAAGACCTTTCCTTTTTGCATCTTGTGATCATATGCCCCGCTTACGCGACTGATAGACTTGTAAGTCAAACAGTAAAGCAAGATTTAGCCATTAAACTTTTAAAGTATAAATAATTATCATATTAATAAAGGTTTATATATACAATATTAATATAAATAAAATACTAATAAAAAATTTTTATTAATATTTGATATACATCTATTTACCATATAGTTAAAATCTTACTTAAATTTTATAAAATTCGAATTTAATACAATAATAACTGAATAAATATAAAATATAATTAATAACAAACTAAATAATAATAATTTATAAATATAAATATATTATTATTGTAAATTAAAATTTACAAACTTACATTATTAACTTTGGATATACCCAGGTACTTTTTATGGGATCTGTGCCCCGCATAAACTGTCTTCCAGTCATAAAGAATATAATAGTTTAAATAAAGGTGTTTCAATTTTATTTAACAATTACCTTATACACTCACAATTGACTTACTATATTCATAAAAGGTAACAGTAAAGCTGCATAGGGTCTTCTCGTCTACCTAGAGTTAAGCGGTATCTGCACCGCTATTCCAATTTCACTGAGCTAATCATCGAGACAGCTGTTGTATCGTTAAGTCATTCATGCAAGACCGCATTTAACGGCCAGGGTATTCCGCTACCTTAGGACCCTTATAGATAAGGCCGCCATTGATCGGAGTGTCCTTCAAAACCTAACCTTTTAAATTAAGTATCTCAGTTATACAACCGACATTGGGCAGACATCACACTCAATACTTTGATTTTTAATCTTTGCAGAGTGATTTGTTTTAATTAAACAGTCGTACAACATTATTTCATGTTTCCTCTTATTTAACAGAAATATTTTTCTGTAATAACGGCCCTCCTTATCCCGAAGTTACGGAGTCAATTTGCCGAGTTCCTTAATGATTATTCACTCAAACGCCTTTGTATACTCTACTTGCTTACTTGTGTTAGTATTTAGGTACGGTCTATATAGTTTCGGATTTCGCCGAGCAATTAAAATTGCTTATTTGATTAAATTTAATTTCCAGAACCTTTAACACTTTATAAAAGTTTTTTCTCTAATCTATTTATATCATCGTATTTGAATCCATTTGGAGAAGTTTTTTTTCAAACAATTTACCATTTTACTTATTTTACTTCCTACTTAGATACCGAAATTTAAATAAAATACCATAAGCTTAAGGCGAGGATGTTAAATCCTTTTTCGTTACTCATGCCAGCATTCTCTCTTGGATTCTTATATAATTTTTTGTCTTAAAAAAGACAAAATCTAATATTTATCCAGTGTTCCGCTACCTCATATATATATATATATTTAAACAAATAATATTATATATTAATATATACGAACAAGGTTTCGGTATATTATTTAGATCCGTTAAATTTTCGGTATACATATCTATCTAAATGAAATTTTATTAACCAGTGCTCTGTTACGAGGTCTTCAAAAAATGGCCGCTTCTAAGCCTATTTCCTGGTTGTATTTGATAAGTACATCCTTAATTTCACTCAATAATAATTTTGGAACCTTATAACTCTTGTTCAGGGCTGTTTCCCTTTAGACATACAACCTTATCGTACTATGTCCGATTATTCAATACTCATCTTTGCCCTTTCGAGTGCAAATACTCTCCGATAAAATCTTCACGATCCCCCGATGTGTACAAAATTTACATATTGTCCGAGATCCTAGTTCTGTACCTGCTAAGATGTTAATTAAATTACCTACTCACATAGGTTTCGCGGAAAACCAGCTATACTAGTCAGTTTTGTCTTTCACCAACTTACCACAATTCATCGGATATCTCTACAACGATAACCGTTCGGCCTTAAGCCTGATCATGGTAAGATCACTAGCTTCGGGTCTAAATTTAGATACTTATCATTTTCTCATAATTGGTTTATCTAGGCAAATAATTTTTATTTGCTTGCATCTAAGTTTAACTTGCTGACCCATTATGCAAAAGGTCCGCTCGTATTATTTATTTAAAATTTTTTTTGAGCTGCTTATAAAATTACTATTTCTATCTATACCTCACGGTACTATTCGCTATCGCTTATATATTATATTTAGCTTTAGAGGAAGGTTCCCCTTTATTCAAACAGATATTTTCCATTTTACTTATAAGCTTTTTTATATTAGTATACACTAATAATAAAATCTCGTTTGATTTCTTTTCCTAAAGTTATTAAGATATTTCAATTCACTTTGTTTATTATTAAATTTATATTAGATATTAATTTTTCATATCTATCTTTAATATATAGCCAGATATCCGTAATAATCTCTTTATATACTTATTTTGATATTTATTATATCAAAAAAAAAAATAATATCATACATATGTAATTATTTATTTTTTTTTTTATCAGGTTATTATGATTCGAACATAACAATTCCTCATCCCAATTGAGACGCCTAACCACCTGGCTCTAACCTGTGTATTTATTCAGAGAATATCCGATTCGAACGGATGTGATCAAATAGATCAAATAAGTTTCAAGCTTACCACTTTAAACCGCTCAGTCAATTCTCTTTTATTATAAATTAATTATTATCAAGAGCACTCAGATTTGAACTGAGGATATGAAGTTTGAAGCTTCAAATTTTACCAATTAAATTATACTCTTTATAATTAAATATTTAGCAATAAAAAAAAATATATAGATATCTATATAGAAATTTAAAAATATAATATTAAATCCATTACATTATCCATATTCGGATGTAACATAGCTTCATTAATAGGTTCTATATTGTTATCTATATCCGTAATAAATCCTAAATTGTTATTAATATTCCCATTGGTATTTTGAGGGGGAACAACATTCATAGGCCTTGAGGTTTCAGCTGATCCTCTAGGTGGTCCTATAGTAATATTTACAGACCTTGAGGTTCCATCTGATCCTCTTCAAGATCATAGAGGAATACTTACAGACCTTGAGGTTTCAGCTGCTTCTCCTGAGGATTCTCCTATATTTGAGCTCCCTTCCACGATATTTGTACCAAGACTATTATTAGAATTATTTGAGTAATTATTAGAATTATCTGAATAATTATTAGAATCTAAATCTAAATCTGAATTATAATTATCTGAGTAATTATTGGAATCTAAATCTGTATTTGAATTAGAATCTAAATCTGTATCTGTTTCAGTATCCGCTACTCCATAATGAATTCTTTCACTGAGATATATGAGATCTTGGATCTTATAATCTTGTTGCTCCAAGTATAGTTTTAATTTATCAAACTGAAGAGTAGATAAACCAGTTTCTAATCGATTATTTAAAATTAAATCTTTTTTTAAAGTCAAGAATTCATGTTCTCGTAAAAATAATGTAAGGCACTGACCATCTATTTCATAACTATAATCCTCATAGGTATTAGATTGTACTTTAAGAAGATCCTTAAGAATATTAGTTTCGTAATTTACTTCTTCTAATCTAGCATTATTTTCAGAGTAAAATTTTCTAAGTATAAGAGGATCAAAATTTTCTAAACTTTGATTCATTACACTATCATAATTATTAAATAAAATACGTTTATTACTAGTTAAGTATAATTCACTTACATTTAATATGGGTCTTTTATAATCTAAAAGTGATAAATCTATCACTTCTGTTCTATTTTTTTCTTTAGGGAATGTCTGTGAAAAAGTACGAATTTGAGTAAAATTAAATATAAAGATAGAACCACGATATTTAGTGGGAGTTGTTAAATTAAAAATATTATTATAACTTATTCTTATCATTTTCATTTTTGTAACTTTCATTTTTTTGTTCATGAGGAAACCTCACATAATTATCCATAGCAATAAAATGTATAAACTTCTAAATATTTTTTTTTAACATTAAGTTTATACCTAGCAAACGAATATGCTAGCGGAAAAGAGATGATTCGAACATCTATATGTATAAACACAATATTTAGCAAATATCTTGCTTTACCAATAGCAACTTTTCCTTCGAGTTAGGCCGGATTTGAACCCGCATCTATTATCTCGACAAGATAACCCTTTACCTATTAAGTTACTAACTCCTTACGGCTAACCGAATTCGAATCGATATTTATTGTTTGGAAGACAACGAGTTTACCATTAACTTATAGCCGTTTAAAAGAAATTTTCTTTAAATAAAATATAAAATCAGGGTTGAAAAGATTAATTTTTTTTAATCTTTAAGACTTATGGGATTCGAACCCACAAATTAATGATTAAAAGTCACATGTTTTACCTTTAAACTAAAGTCTCTAGAGACTAACCTTTATCTTAATATTAAAATATTATATTTAATTTTTTATCATGATTCCTTAGCGACTTGAACGCTAAACCTACTCTTATCAAAAGTATACTTTACCTGATTAAGTTAAGGAATCTTTTAAAAATCTTTTTATTAAATAATTAAAAGTACCTTTAAAATTTCACTAAGTAAATATAATCCATAAGTTTATTATTCTATATATACATAAATATATTAAAATTAATTCAGCACTTGATTATTAATTATTAATTATTAATTATTAATTATTAATTATTAATTATCCATTATTATAAATAAGATAACTAAAATATATTTGATATCTCATTAAATTAGTTTAAAAATTTAATAAGAAATTAAATGTATTATCTAGATATAAACTTAATAATATATCATTTAATGAATTCGAAATAATATCTACATGATAATTAGATAAACTATCCTGAGTATTTTCATACGTAACAATATTTAAAGAATTATTAAAAGATTCGTTACTTGAAGTTATATCAGGACCTTCTGATGTTCCTCCCATATTAGTATCTCCATTATCTCCTTCTTCATTGTTGTCTGAGTCATCAGAGTCTTCCTCATCTTCAGACTTATTATCTTCAACTATTACTTCTGGCTCATACCCATAAAGAAGTCTATCTAATACATCTAAATTATTTCGAATAATACGATCTTGTTCTTCCAAATATTGTCTTACTGCTTCAAACTCTTGTTCAGATAAACCAGTTTGTAATGGATTATCTAATATTAGCTTTTTTTTATAATACAATAATTTACTTTCTCGTAAAAGAACTGTTAATCGCTGACAATCTATCTCATAACTTAAATTTTCTGAAGAATTAACTTGTCGTTCTATAAGTTGCCTAAGAATATTATTTTGATCATTTACTTCTAATAACCTTGGAGTTTGCCGTTCATAATAAACTCTGATTATATTATTATCAAAATTACGCAAATGATGATTCATTACATTATCGTAATTTTGATAAAAAGCATTTCTCTCAGGATTAGTGTGGTAATGAGTAATACTAAGTCTAGGATCATTTCTAGGTAAACGTGCTAGAGAAATATCTCTATTCATTCTTCTAATAGAAGTTTGAGTAAAAGATCGTGAATATATTTTAGAACTACATATAACTAATATCCTAAAGGATATAAAAATATCTCGCCTCGATCCGAGGGAATTAGATAATAAATTGTTGTTATTATTAATTGATAACATTAAAAAAATTTAAAAACCATACGCTATAATTCAATTCACCCTCCCTACCCTTCCTTGCATAATTATTAAACAATTATACATGTGAATTAAAAAAAAATAATATTTATATTTTTAGTTCTAATCTAATTTAAAATTAATTATTGCGATATAATTATTATGATTTAATAACATATTTAAATTAAATTATTATTTAAGTAATCTTGACATAAGTCAACCTATTCCAACCTCTTAGATATATATATAATTATACCTAATACTCCCTACTTAAATAATAAAAAAATTATTATTTAAATAATAATTTAAAAACCACCACCTCAATAATACATACTACCATAAAGAAACAATCAAACTAGATCAACAAAATGTCAATAAAATATACCCGATTCTAAACCTACATGATGATGATCAGTAAAATGATAAGCAAGCAGACGTCATAAACCAATTACTATAAAAATAGTTCCAATAATAACATGTAATCCATGAAAACCAGTACCAAAGAAAAAACAAGAACCAAAAATACCATCTGAAATAGTAAAAGATGATACATCGTATTCTATACCTTGACAAATTGTGAATAAAACAGCAAATATAACTGTGAATATAGAACCATATAAAGCTCCTTTTCTATTACCTTGTATTACAGAATGATGAGCATATGTAACAGTTACACCTGACGATAATAATAAAATTGTATTTAATAAAGGTAATTCAAAAGGATTAATACTTTGTATACCTAAAGGTGTCACATAGCACCAACTTCTATATTAGGTGATAAAGAACTATGAAAAAATGCTCAAAAAATCCCTAAAAAAAATAAAGCCTCAGATACTATAAATAAACCTACTCCTAGATTTATACCTCTTTGTACAGCATAAGTATGATCACCTAAATAAGTACCTTCTGATATAACATCTCTAAATCAAAAAAACATACTTGCCATTAAATTAAATATTGCTATAAAAAATAAATAACTTACTCCATTAAAACCATGCAAGTTTAATACACCTGTTGTTGTAAGAACAAATAGAGAAATAGAAGTAAAAATAGGTCAAGGTGATGGAGAAACCATATGATAAGGATGATGTTGAAAATTATTATTTTTTAAATATTTCATACATTTATTATAGATAATAAAGTGTGTAGTATTATTAATTGTTTTTATATTAATTATATAATTTTATTTAAGGTTTATACCTATATAATTTATTTATTTTTATTTAGAGTAATAACTATAGTACCTACCATAGCTAATAATAATATTATTGAAATTATTAAAAGTCAAATAGAATAATTAGTATATAATACATTTCCAATACTACTTATCTGAGTATTATTAACTAAAGAATTATCTCAATTTAAACTAATAACATATTGTATATCTTCTTTGTAATTAAAAAAATACTCTTGTTTTAAATTTTCAAATTTATTGTATCCTAATACACTAATGTTATTTGGAATATTTTGTCCTAAAATATAAATAAATAATATTACACTTAACATAGCTAAAGGTATATAATTATAAGTCTCACTTAAAAGTTCAGAAATACGTATATTTATTAACATTAAAATAAAAATAAATAAGATAGATACAGCACCAACATAAACTAATAAATAAGATAAACCAATAAATTCTAAACCAATAAAAAATAAATAGCATGAAATACTAAGAAATAAACCTATCAAAAAAAAAATAGAAACCACAGGATTTTTACTAATAATAGTATAAAGACTAAAAAATATACAAATTATATAGATAATATCTAAAAACTCATCTCTATAACCATTATTTATATAATCAGAAAAAAAAAACATAAAGGAAATTATATTAAATTCTTATTATAAACATAAAATTAAATTTTTACAAGAATGCGAAAAAAAATTTTGTATAGATTAGCCACAATTTATCCATTTAGGAAGAAAAGGAATTGAACCTTCGATAGCTGTAAAGCTATTGAGTTTACAGCTCAACCCGTAAACCAACACACGGACCCTTCCTTAAAAAAAAAATTTTTTAATTACGATCTAAAAATAACTTGGTTATAGTTATAATTTAATCTAAATTATTTGAAAAAAAAAAATTTTTAAAAAAAAAAAAATGTAATTTTAAATAAATTATAATTAATTTTTCAAGCTAAAATTAACTTGACATAGATTAAATATTAATTAATTTACTTAAAAATTTCAAATTATTTACTAATAAAATTTTTTTTTTATATTTATTTATTTTTTGTTAAAATTAATATATCCCGTGCAATTTCCATTACACGAACCTTATTACGACTTAACACCAATTAAAGTCATACATACGAAAATTTAATGTAAAAATATAAATATATTATAATATTTATTAAAATAAACACAAATCAAACTTATTGCACATACTTCTTTCAGCGCCTGACGAGTGGTTAGTACCTAACTGATTATAAATTCACCGTGACGTGGTGATTCACGATTACTAGTAATTCCTTATTCATGTTGTCGAGTTACAGACAACAATCCATATTATATCCTATTTTAAGGATTAGCTCCATTTTACAATATAGCATCCTTTTGTTAAGGCGTGTGTGGCACGTCTATAGCCCACAATATTATGGTCATGATGACTTGTCTTGGTCCCTATTCTCTAACCATTTTTTTAGCGAATAACTTTATACAGATAAATAAAGTAAGGGTTTGCGTTAATTAAAGGAATTAACCATGTCTCACGACATTAACTGCAGACAGCCGTGCAACGCTTGTAATAATTTAATATTATACAAATTGTGGTAAGATTTTTCGCGGATTATCGAATTAAATAACATACTTCACTACTGGTTTCAGAAACGGTCTAATGATTTCAGTTTCAATGTTGCCATCTTACTCTTAAGGTGGAATGCTTACACTTTCATTTATATGTTAAATATATTTTTAACATTTAACTCTTTTATATTTAAAACTAATCTATGTATTTAATTTTTAAATATATAAAATATATTAAAGATTTAATACATTTTTTAAGTTAAATGTTGAATCTAACTTATGGCATTCATAATTTTCTGCTTGGACTATTAGGGTATCTAATCCTTTTCGCTCCCCAAGCCTTCGTCCCTCAACGTCAGTTTTTACATAGAAAGCTGCCTTCGCCGTTATCAGTCCTATTGGTATTAAAAAATTATATCTTTACTCCAAAAGTTCTCCCTTTCTCCTATAAAACTCTAGTAAATAAATATCCTTATCGGATTTATTTTACCGTCTAGGTACCCTTTAAACCTAATCAAGATGACTAACACTTGTCTTCTACGTATTACCGCGACTGCTGGCACGTAATTTGGTCAAGACTTATAAATAAAAAATTGTCATAATCATTTTTCTATTTAGAAAAATAATGATATTATTTATCATTACATTTATTCCTCCAAGTTGCTGGTTCAGCCGTTAGGCCATTGACCAATATTCCTCACTGCTGTACTAATACGCATTGGGGTTTTTTCAGACCCAATGTGGTCGATCGACCTCTCAGTCACGACTACGGCTTATAGCTAGTTAAGATATTACCTTTTCTACTACTATATATTCACCGAAAATATTTATTAACATCTTAAAGCGAAACCTTAGTTTCTTTCTTATATAAGGAATTTAACCTTTCTTTAAGGTAGCCAAAATATTATTTACTCACCTGTACACCACTACATCATTTTTAATATGATGTCGTACGATTAGCATGTGTCAAGCACTTGGATAGCGTTCAATCAGAGCCATCATCAAACTCAAATATTTTTTTTTTACTATTTTTAATTTATTTAGTAGAACTAAAAAAAAATTTATTTTTTATTTTAATAACATTTACACTAGTAGAATTTAATATTTATTCTTATTTAATATATTTTTTATATTTGGATTTTTAGTTCTACTACTAATGTCTATAACTATTTTTTTTTAGTTAAATTTATTAATACTAATAAAAATAGTTATATATATTGTTAAAAAATTTTATTATGATTTAAAATCTATAAGTAATTAATTAATACTAATTACTATTGTTCATATTAATTTTAGGTTATTTAATATGAATTATATATTGTTATCTACATTTAACCCGGTTTCTGTGTATATATATGACACTAAAAAAAGAACTTAATAAAGGATTCATGTTCATAATATATAATAATGTATATATTTAATTATTTTCTGTTAAAATTTCATAATTTAAATTATTGTATTTATAATATATAAATATATTATATACATTTAAAAAACAAGTTTAGGATTTTCCTCCTTATTATATAATTTGTAGATAATTAAAAAAAGAGATAATTAATGTAAATCTAAACTATCTTTAATATAAGAACAAGTTAAAACTACAAAAACTTGAGCTTGAATAAAACTTATACCTAATTCTAAACCAGAATATGCAATAATAAAAGCTAATGGTATTAAACCAAGAACAAAAAATAATATACCACTATTAAGTATATTATAAGTAAATCCACTTAAAATAGATAAAAGCATATGACCAGAAAGAATATTAGCTGCAAGTCTTAAACCTAAAGAAACATTACGAGCTAAATAAGAGATAAATTCAATTAAAACTAATAAAGGCAATAAACCAAGGGGACAACCAGAAGGAACAAAAAAAGAAAAAAATTCTAAACCATGTTTTTGGAAACCTAAGAAGGTAGCTCCTAAAACGATAGTAAAACTAAGAAAAAAAGTTAATATAAAATGAGAAGTTGCTGCAAAACTATAAGGTATTAAACCTATTAAATTGTTTGTCAATATTAATAAAAATAAAGCATAAATAAAAGGAAAATAGATTTGACCTTTATTTGGATTTATAGTATTTATAACTATACTATGTATAGTTACATATAAAGATTCTTGACTAATAGATCATGTATTTGATATTATTTTTCTAAAATTTGTTGCTAGTATATTTACTAATAAAATTATTATTGTACTTACAATTAAATATAAGCCTATATTTGTCAATGAGATATTTGCATTTAATATAGTAGAGTTAATCCCTACTAAATTTCTAATTTCAAATTGGTCTAAAGGGCTAAAAACCGTATCTAAATTATACATATTAAGAATTTTTTATGTTATATTTAATTTATTGTTTTATAGTTTAAAAAAAATGAATAAAATATTAATACTTTATATTATTATAATTTATTTATAAATAAACGTGTTAAAAATAAATGAACTAATCTAGGTAAAATATATTTACTAAAAGTGTAAGTTATAAAACTTAATAAAATAAAAACGAATAAAGCTTGATTTACAAAAAAAAAAGGTACTAATTGTGGCATAAATCTATTTTATATACATGATATTTTCTTTTACAAATCTAAAACCTAGTGCACACAAAGTTTAAAATATCCTTTTTAATATAAAATCTTAAATAGACTAAATAAAAATTATTAATAACACTTTTAAATAAAAATAATATACATAGTTAGTAATAATATATTATTTTTATTTATTAATATATAAGACTAGACTAGTTAAATATTATTAAGTTTATATAAATAAATCCTATTAAAAATAAATTAATTAGAATAAATTAAAGAAGAAACTGAATAATGTAAACCATCTAAAATAGGCGCAGGATAAACACCAAATAATACTGTAAATATAACAAGACAAGTTAATAAAACAAATTCTCTTTTGTTAAGATCAAATAAATATTTAAAAAAATAAGAAGAAAAAATTCCTCCAAAAGCTATTCTATTATACATAAAGATTGTATAAGCAGCAGAAAATACAATAGAACTACTAGCTAATAAACCTAAAAAAGGTACTCTTTCAAATGTACCATAAAGTGACATAAATTCACCTATAAAATTTAAAGTAAGAGGAGCACCACAATTACCTAAAGACAATATATAAAATAATATACTAAAAATAGGCATTAATTGAGCTAAACCTCTATAATATGTAATTAATCTAGTAGAAGATCTATCATATAAAACACCACCAACACATATAAATAACCCAGATGAAACAAAACCATGAGCTAAACCTAAAGAAATAGCACCTTCTATACCTTGAATTGAATTACTAAATGCACCTAATAAATATACAGCAGCATGTGATACTGATGAATAAGCAATAAGTTCTTTAATATCTATAGTTCTTAATGTACTAAAACTAGCATATATAATAGTTATTACACCTATAACATATATTATATAAGTATAATTAATACTAGCTTTAGGTAATAAAGGTAAAATTAATCTAAATATACCATACAAACTTAATTTTAAAACAATACCAGCTAAAAGAATACTACCAGCTAAAGGAGATTCTACGTGAGCTTTTAATAATCAAGTATTTAAAAAAATTGTGGGTGTTTTTACCGCAAAAGATATAAATATACCATAAAATAAAAAAAGTTGAGTTATATAATTAAAATTTGCTTTAGATAATGCATCAAAATCAGTTGTCCCCATTATAGAAGACATTGTTATTATAGAAAGCAACATAAATAGAGAACCTAGTAAAGTATATAAAAATAAATAAAAACTAGCTCTAACTTTATTACTTGATCCAAATAAACCTATTAATAAAAATAAAGGAGGTAATATACTTTCAAAAAATATATAAAATAATAATAAATCTAATACTAAAAACACTCCTAATAATAAAGCTTCTAAAAGTAATATAATTATTACAAAAGATAATACATTTTTTTCATCAATCGATTTTCAATTAGATATTAAAGCAATAGGTGTAATAATAGTTGTTAATAAAACAAAATATATAGATATTCCATCAACTCCTAAATATATATCAAAATAATTTATTTGATAATGTTCTTGAACTTGTATAAATTGAAACTGTTTACTACTAAAATCAAATAATATATATATTATTAAAGAAATAATTAAATTAATAATTGTAGTACTTAAACCTATTAATTTAATCATTTTATTATATCAAAAAGATAAACGATAAGAAGTTAATGTTAATATAACAAATATTCCTAATAAAGGAATGAATAACAAAGAAAAAAGAAATATCATTTATAAAACATAAAATAAAATTACCTATAGATTATTATTTTAACCTTATGTAACACCGTACATATCTGCAAGGCTAAAAAATTATCTAAAAACTTTTTATTAAATATGAATTAAATTAATTTTTAATAAATTTTATATAAACTATAAAACAATAAAATAAAAAACATACAAAAAAATAAACTATAATAAAGTAAAATTACAAGGTAAAATATTTAAACCTACTACTAAACAAGGTGTTATAATTATATACGCTATAATTAAAGGTAAAAATACTATTCAACAAACTGACATTAATTGATCAAATCTAATTCTAGGGAATGATGCTCTAACTCATATAAATACAAATATAAGAAAAGAAGTTTTAAAAGCTAAATTTAAACTAGAACAAGCATTAATTAAATAATAAGATAAAACATAATTATAATCAAAATCGGGTTTTAAATATAATCCTAATAATTCCAAGATATAATTAAAACTAGAAATTATTGTAACTAAAGGAAAAATTTGCAAGTAACCACCTAAAAACAAAACACTAGTTAATAAACATATTAAGACAATACTAGCATATTCTGCTAAAAAGAAGAATACAAAAATAACTGCCGAATGTTCTGTCATAAAACCACTAACAAGTTCTGATTCAGCTTCAGCTAAATCAAAAGGAGCTCTATTAGTTTCAGCAATACAACCTATAAAAAATATAATAAAAATAGGAAATAAAGGTAATATAAAGTAAATAGATTTTTGAGCTTCTACTATAGCAGTTAAGTTTAAACTTCCTGTTAATAAAATTACTAATAATATAGCAGAACTTAATATTAATTCATAACTAATTAATTGAGCTGTACTTCTTAATGAACCTAAAAATGCATATTTAGAATTAGCTGATCATCCTGCAATTAAAATTCCATAAGTAGCTAATGATGACACAGCCAACATATAAAGTATACCTAAACTAAAATCTGATACATATAAACCATAACCATATGGTATTACTGCATAACCTAATAAAGCAAAAATTAAAGTTATTATAGGTCCGAGAAAAAATAAAATTATATTAGCTTGTGTTGGTGATACATATTCTTTTAATAATAATTTTAATGCATCAGCAAAAGCTTGTAAAAGACCATAGTAACCTACTGCATTAGGTCCTAATCTTCTTTGCATACTGGCCATTGTTTTTCTTTCTGAAATTGTAACAAAAGCACTGTTAATAATGAAGGAACTATAACTAATAGACCTTCTATAATAGATAATAAATATGACATATTATTTGAAAAATAGAATAATTTAATAAAATACTTTAACAAAAAATAATTTTTCAAATTATAATAAAAATAAAAAAAAAAATGAATATAATAAATATATTTTTTTTTTAATATTAAATAAACATCTACTACTAATATAATTAGAACTAGATTATTAATATATTTTAGGAGCCAGGAGAAATCGAATCTCTAAATTTTAATTTGCAGTCAAAACACAGAGGAATTCCACCACATGGAGTTCAGCTG